CTCACGAACCGATTCAAAGTTCGTATAACTGAGGTGGGTTGTGGCGGATGTAGAACCTGGTGCTGGAGTGTTGATTTATGTGCAAGAGAGGCTTCATCTGCTTTACTTACTTCAACAAAACCGTAACTATAGTTATACTATATATATATATATATAAATGGGGTTCTCCGAGGTTTTACACTTTTATGATGAAAACCTTCGTGGTCCATAAAATTTACGTAAGTTGCGTTGCTCTGTGAAAATTTATTTTTCAAAATGCTACTGATGCGATGTTGAAAAGAATTTTGCATATTTGCCATTTTTTTAAATTTTTTTCAATAAAGCCATTTTATTGGCTAAATATAATTTTTATTTTAATATCTCGCACTTTTCTAAATAATATATTTTAATTATATAAGGATCAGTCTAATTAACTTTCGACAAAAAGCCTAATTTTTGAAATATGTTAAATCCGAATCTTATCTTTTAAATATATTAGACGAAATTCAATGGACTGACCTATAATTTTCATTTTAATCAAAAATTTTACAATCTTCCTATTGATATAGAATAATGGAAATAGATATTTGTGTATTCAGGTATTGAATGTACAATAGGTTAGTTTAAATCTCGTTTGTGTCTTATTTATTAGCAGCATCTATATGTATATTAAGTTGAGAAGCATTCTATATATATATATATATCATGTTTCAGGATATCAATAGAACGTCGATTATTTCCTAAACAATATACAATTTCCAAACTATCCTAAAATCACTTTATATAACTTTTTGAAAGTTTACGTAAGCTATGAACAAAAGCTCTTACTGATGCTTGTTGAAAAGCAATCAAAACTTTCTGAATCTCGCGAACATTCTACATTCTCGAAAATTTAGTATGCCATGTTTCGATTATCTTTATAAGGCTTTTTAGAGTTTTGATGCTGCTAAAATCGCTTTATTTTCTTCATTCAAGAAGCTATAAAAAAAAGTCCTTTTGTAAGGAACATTTTACGCTTTTTTTTAGTCTAAATTTAATAAGAGTTTAATATACTTTTTAATATACACGGATATATTAAAGTAAAAAAAAAATTAATTTTTGTAATAATATATTTTTATATTTACCAATAAATCCTTCCAACACAGAAAAAAACTGAACTCAGAATGAGCCGTATAGGCGGCTCATTTTGATGTGCAACAAAAATGAACCAGGTTGGTGACGCCACTGTCTATGTCGTTTAGCATTGGCTCATTTTGACTTGCAACAAAAATGAGACTACGTTTTTTCTGTGAATGACACGTCAATTGTCCTGGCTGTGTAGCTGCTTCACAGAACAACAAAATTTAACTTTTTTTTTTATTTCTGAAATCGCTTAGGTGATTCCTATAGATTTTTCGACGTTGAACACGAATCCGTAAACATAATTGTTGCACACTTGGTTAATCCAAAAAATAATTATAATTAACCTGTTAATAAGTTACAATAAATATTATATTTTTTTATTTAACTCCACAAATAATGTATCTAAAAAGAAAGTAAGGTTAGGTTTCGTAAAATGACTTCAAACCGTGTACACTTAAAAAATTCTTTGACTAAAAACATTTCACGTAAAATGAAAGCACTACTTGTTCATTTTTAAGAACAATTCTCCGAGTTTGAATGTTTTACTTTGATAATTAATCACTGAACACAACACGATGTCCCTACACGACTCACAACACAACCCAGATAGTGCGTAAGCTTGCAGCAACTTTATGGCGAGCTTGCCGCGCAATATTGACAACCTTGCACAGCAAACTTGCCGCAAGCTTACTGCAAGCTTCAAATGTCCCACCTGACCCAAGCTTGCATGGTAAGCTTACCGAAAGATTGCAGTGTAAAGTTACTGCAAGATTGCACAATAAGATTATCGCAAGATTGCTTAGTAAGCTTGCACGGTAAGCTTGTAGCAAAGTTGGTGCAAGATTGCTAAATAATCTTGCTTTGAACCTAAAAATTTTTTTTAATGTTTCGTCTAATTTACATAATAAAATTTATATTATAAAATTATGTAAATTAGACGAAACATTAAAAAAAAAAATTAGGTTTAAAGCAAGGTTATTTGGCAACCTTGCACCAACCTTGCTACAAGCTTACCGCGCAAGCTTACTGAGCAATCTTGCGATAATCTTATTGTGCAATCTTGCAGTAACCTTACACTGCAATCTTTCGGTAAGCTTACCATGCAAGCTTGGATCAGGTGGGACATTTAAAGCTTGCAGTAAGCTTGCGGCAAATTTGCAGTGCAAAGTAGGCAATATCGCGCGGCAAAGTTGCTGTAAGCTTACGTGCTATCTGAGAATTGATACTGCAATTCATCTCTGAAATGACAAACATGGTTATTTTTACCATGACATTAGTGGTTAATTTTACTACATTTTTTTAAGTAGGTTGCTATAGTTAAGTTTACCAAGAATCAGTAGTTAAATCAACAAAATTTTTAATCATTTACATTGATAATTTAGCTTCATAAAATTAATTCACACTACTAAACGTTTGGTTAACCCTTAACTGGCACCATGAGTTCAGTAGACCCGAACATTTTTTTGAGCACAAATTAATTGAATGTGTAGCTGTTGAATATTTTTAATATATTAGTTGGACATATTCTTAATAATTTTGTAAGTTTTTTGATACATTTAATTCGATACAAAAGAATAAAATACACTGAGAAAAAAGGTTTGAGCTGACAACCAAATATTTCATTTAATATATGTGCAACTAAAATTTTTTGGTTGACACAACTAAACTTTAGTTTACATCAACCAAAGTTTGGTTGAGACTACCAAATTCTTTTTCATTTTTTTATTTAGTCGTCTGAAACAAACTTTGGTTGTTGTCAACTAAAGTTTAGTTGTGTCAACCAAAAAATTTTAGTTGCACATATATTGAATGAAATATTTGGTTGTCAGCTCAAACCTTTTTTCTCAGTGTAGTTTTAAACATTAATAATTATAAATTTTTAATTTTAACCTAAAAAGTCACATTTTATTCTGCAAAATAAATACCTTTTTTGAAAGTCCTGCTGTTGTGGTAATTTTTTCCTTAAATAATAATATATCAAGAATATAACCTTAATTTATTAAGTCATAATATTAAAATTTTAATAACTTATAAATTTTTAAGTAAAAACACGCAATTTTTTGTTTTTATTTTTCACAATTTTTTTAACTAACTTAAAATAAATTAACTAATTACATTATAAAAAACATATTATAAGCTACCACAGATTAAATTTTTGTGCAAAAATATTCAATGCTGGCTGTACAATACACGTTTGAATACGTCGGGTCCAGCAGACTCGTTATGTCATTTACGTTCAAACACGGAATTGTGCCATTTAAGGGTTCCCAACCAAAAATTTCAGTATTATACCACAGTTGACTACTGGCGCAGTACTGGTTGCATAATTATATACATTATAATTATTTTATAAACATTTTTATTTTTACTTAACTGTTTTTATATATTATAAAAACTTTGGTTTTATAATAAACATATTTTTATATTTATTTTTTAATTTTTTAAATAATAATTTACAATATATGTATATTATAAGAAGGAATGAAAATTCTTAGTGTTTTCGATTTTATGTAATAAAATATTAATTAGTTAGTTGACTAATTTAATTAATATTTAATTTGTCTTGGGTTACTAAAAATTTCCGACACTTTTTCCTAAGTATACCAAAAAAGTATTACCTGGAGTGAAACTTATCTCTGTTACAGTTAAAGCTTTCTTTTTGTATACAATAAATTACAAAACTGCCAGTACTCGGCCAGTACTGAACCAGTAGTGGTACTGTTAAAATGTTATCGTCCCAAAGTTACGCCAACTCTAACGCCAATACTGGGTGCCAGTATTTGTCAGTACTGTGCCAGTACTGCGCCATTAGTAAATTTTTGATTGGGTTAATACAACTCAACAAAATTTAACTAACGAAATATAGTTAATTTTATAGCATCATTTTTTTACTCATATTATGAAAGATTGATTCATATAAAAATTAAATAACCTATAAAAAAATCACTTTCTTTTATGATTTTCGCTAATCATTTATCAATACGTAATTTTTTACTTTTTATTCGTACTTTTCAATAGCTTACGGATTTTCCTCGTTAACACCCTACACATTTATATATACATATAAGTACGATTGGGTTTTAAACTTTTCGTAGGATCTTTTTCGTTCAAAGTAAAATTTTCTCGAGGATGAAAGTTCATTAACTGTGGAGTTTTGCGGTGAATCGAAAAAGAGATCCATAGAGAAGTGAACGAGGTCGTTATATTATAGCTTTTGCAAAAGAGAAGTCGATGGATTGTGGAAAGTTGCGGTGTGCAGCGGCATGAACCAAGAGGGAAAGATGGAATAGCGCAAGTTAAAGAGAAGGCTAGTGGAAGAGTGAGAGAGAGAGAGAGAGATAGAGAGTTGGTAGATTGTGAAAAAGCTCGAGAGAGGAAACGTGCCTTCATCGCAACTGTCAGTAAAAGTCGAAAAGGCGAAGGAAACGGAAAATTTCAGGGATAAAGTCTCGCAAATAAGACTTTCCGTCGATTTCAGGTCAACTTCTGCAAGTTGAGAATGATGGAGAGAGAGAGAGAGAGAGAGGGGGGGGAGGCTTTCTCGAAAGCTTATGAAATTGAACCGCGACTACCTTTTATTTTTTACTATACATATACTTTTTATATTCATGGGCTAAAATTGCCCACTCTCGTTTGGCCTGTTGAAAAATTACTCACGAATGCTCTAGTTCTTCTTTTTAGAAGATTCTTTTTGAAATTTAACATGCTTGTGAAAATGACACTTAAAGGAGTTTGTGCACCGAAAATAGAATTTCTTAAAGAGAAATGATTAGTAGATGAATTAAAAAAATATTCTTTGGATTTATTTAATCCTATAATAAAAGTAAAAAAGGAGAAATAGTTTTACAAAAATGAGATTTTGTAGTAAGAAATATAATTTTATTTTGTTTTCTCTTCAGGTGGTATGCTCAAACCGGAGCTGAGCCAATGTTGGTACTACCTGGTCCAAGAACAAGATTACTGGGGCCTGTTTTGGCCATTGAAGCTGTTACTTTAGAAGATAATGGAGTTTATAGATGTACAGCTGCAAATCCTGGCGGTGAGGCTAGTGCGGAATTAAGGTAATTAATTGTAATTTTTTTGCCATTATTTAATTTGAAATATAAACGTCGATTCTAAAATAGTGTTTATTTTATAATAAGGCTTAGTCAGTTTTAAACCTATACCAATATAGGCTTAAAATAAAACTCTTATTCCTTCTCTCTAAATCTGAATAAGTGAAATTTCACTTAGAATGTTTCAAAAGTCTTACATGTAGAAAAATAAGTGTATATGCATTTAAAAATAAGTGCGATTTTCACTCAAAAATATGTAAAGTTTCACTTATTTTTTAGTGCATATACACTCATTTTTCTACGTGGAAAACTTTTGAAACATTCTAAGTGAAATTTCACTTATTCAGATTAAGAGAGTTGCTAAACATCTGTCTTGAATGAAAAAAAAAGTTCGTCCCCGATGGCAAAAAAAAACTCTTGTATATTTTGAATCTTAATGCCTTAGATTGTAACGTTTGTAATTGAAAGAAACAATTTTTAGCTCGCCAAGACAGGGTTCGTTTTGATTCATTACACAAAAAATAATAACAATAACAGGGTTAATTACAAACTGATAACAAATTATTTATTTACACGATATATATGGGCATATCTCTAGAACTTTTAAACTTTATGTTATCGCTCATTATGATACCTTAAGAATTTTTTTAATAATTTTTCAATACCATAATTTGACCAATTATAGGGCTTTTTAAATGTATCATGCGTTATATAATTTTTTTAATTATGTAGGAAATGACGAACGTAAGTTAAAGTGGTGAAATCGACAGTTTCTAGTGTGTGATATTGACTGTTTTTTTTTAGTTTATAGACTGTAACTTTTTTAACGAAACATTGTGTGTCTTGTGGCTTGCAATAGAAGTAGGTGGGAGTGTAAAGAACTAAAAAATCCATGAAACAATGATGTGCCTCAAATTGAATAAAAACTATGTAGCTTCAAACTTGCGAGACAACTTTTTCAACATTTCTACAAGTTAGCAGTTAAACTGATATAACTTTTTTAACGAAGGTTTTTGAGTAACGGCACAACGGGATTATATTATCTACCTAATAAGAAGTAATTTGAACCCATACAGGAATGTGTGCCTCCTTTACACAAAGAATACAATGACTTCAAACATTAAATTTTAAAACGTAACTCATATCAAAAAACCACATATTTGAAAAGCACATGTTGAATTTTGCTTCTAAATGCTCCCAACTCATTGTAATCTCTTCTCATGCATTATAAAAGTATACAGAAAAATCGTTAACCTTTGCACACTTCATTAAAACTGTATAATTAATAATGAATATAAACCTAAACTGTCCGACGCATAGTTTGTGAAGAAAAGTAAATATTAACTAATAGATGTGTTTAAATCTGGCTGATATTTCTCACTCGAAGGTTTTTGGGGTCGCTGCGACTACTAATCTGAATTTAAAATTTTCCAAAATTCAAAATAGCGAATCCAATATGGCGGACGACTTTTTAAAAAAGTGATCCCATTGGCCTCAAATTTGTTACTCGGGGGTTTTTGGGGTCGCTGATTATGAATTTGAACTTTGTTTTTCAAAATTCAAAATGGCGGATCCAATATGGCGGACGACTTTTTAAAAAAGTGATCCCATTGGCCTAAAATTTGTTACTCGAAGGTTTATGGGATCGCTGATTACGAATCTGAACTTAATTTTTCAAAATTCAAAATGGTGGATCCAAAATTGCAAACAAAATTTTTAAAAAAATTTAATTTTAAAAAATTCAAAAATTGTTATAAACTACATTTACTTATGACATAATAAGCCATAGGACATAAAATTTTCGAAACTGTAGCATTAAATATCTCAATATTAAATTACACATTTTGATTTTTAAAATTTTAGTTTATTTTATAATAATATATTTGGGTTTTAAAATAAGTTCAGTTTTGTAATCAGTGACCTCAGAAAACCTTAGGCATAAATTTTTATAAAAATTGAATAATTGAAAAATATCTTTCTGACATATTTGATACACCATTTTAATGAGCCAAAAGTTCTGAACGTTCAAATGAACGAAATATTTTTTTCAATCTATAAATTATTAAAAATTATGATGACAATATAAAATAAAAGAATAAATTAAACAATTATTAAATTAATAACTTCTTTTTAGATAATTAAAACAAATATTTTGTAATAAAATTAGTATTTAAAGAAGTTGCAAAAAAAATTTCGTTCATTTGAACGTTCAAAACTTTTGTCTCATCCATTTTAAATATTAGTAATGAAACTTTAAATTTTATGTACATGGTTACAAAAACTAAGCTACGAAAACCCCCAAGTAACAAATTTCAGGCCAATTGGATCAATTTTTTTAAAAGTTCTCCGCCATATTGGATCCGCCATTTTGAATTTTGAAATACTAAGTTCAGATTCGTAATCAGCGACCCAAAAAAACCCCGAGTAACAAATTTCAGACAAATTCGATCATTTTTTTTATAAGTCAACCGCCATATTGCATCCGCCATTTTGAATTTTGAAAAACTAACGTCGGATTTGTAATCAGCGACCAAAAAAATCCGCGAGTAACAAATTTCAGTCAGTTTTAAACACATTTAGAGATTTTGGGCAGGTTTTTTGCAATAAGGCCCACTGTGCTGCGTAACAATGTGTAAAAATGAGTTACGCAAATTTTTTTATAGTATTTGATCAATACTGAAGACAATAAAATTTGTTTCACGAATGTGCCCTGAAAAAAAAATTAATTTTTCTAATATCTCAAAGTTTAAAAGTTCTAAAGATATGCCCATATATATACAGGTGACAAAGATTAACAAGTAAATCACGAAAGTCGGTTTCGAGTAACAATTTGTCGGCGTCTATCCGAAATATGTTGCACCGCGGAATCGAAAATCTGCATCAATCTGAAACGCCGCTTATTTGAGCCGCGCATTAACGAAATCGGCTTCAACTCGCTGTGATGAGCCGTTAATCTGTTACTATACTGCCTAAAAAATTAGCGATACACAGGTGAACCACGAGTAAAATTCGTGTTCCAATCATACAAAGAGTAAAACTCTAAGTATATCTAAAACGGAGATTAAAAACGGTAATAAAACGAAAAATCTACTTTAAACTACGTGAATACAATATTATATTACTATACATTTCGTTACGTTACTTTACGATTCTTTACTGTACATTTGTTACGTTACTTTACGTCGCGATACGTTACTTTAAATTTGTTACGTTACTTTACGTCGCGATACGTTACTTTACACTATATACATTAAAAACCGATAAAATGTTCAACAAGTAAAACCCGTCGAACGAGAGTAAAACTCTCTACGAAAGTTATTCGGAGTAAAACTCCGGTAGTATGGCTCCTTAGGGGTAAAACCCCTAGTCAGGTGGGTATGACCCTCCTAGGCTCCGTGTAGCGCGAGAGTGACGGTCTAAAGCGGGAGCGCAGCTTATATAGCCGTTCGGTGGGCTGAGCGTACGCGAGAGCTTTCAGCGATGCGGCCCGCGCGGCGAAATCGGGTACTACATTGCTGTGCTATAAATATTTACCGGACGATTTCTAACTATCATTACAAGATAAACAAAATTTTAAAAATAGAAAGTCGTATCTGATCCTTCTGTATTATTTTTCGTGAATTCAATTATCATTTGATGTATTATAACTGATAAAACACAGGCAGACAAAAAAAAGTTGTCTGTTTTTTGAACTAGACAAACCTTTCCGCTGAAAACGAATATGACGTAAAAATCTTGTAGGTTATTTTGTCACAAAATACATCAGGCAAAAGATTAAAATTTCTATTGTCATAAATAAAAAGGTCTATTTAAAAAATAATGCTAAATCATTGAAACAATTGTTAACAGGCTAGTTGTAACGGCACCTTTAAACGTGGAAGTGACACCTGCCCTTTTAAGTGTTCACTTGGGAGGAAATGCAGAATTTAGATGCGAAGTTGGTACTCATCCCCAGGCTGGACCACATTTTGTAACATGGTACAAAGATGGAAGACAACTTCCAGGAACGGGGAGACAATCAGAGTTGTTGAGGTTAAATGGTATTGGCAGAGAAGACAGAGGAATGTACCAATGTATTGTTAGAAGATCTGAGGGTGATACTGCACAGGCGTCAGCTGAATTACAACTAGGAGGTAAGAGATTTCATATAAGTATAAATTTTATTTATTACTACATACTTCTCAAAATTGAGAAATAACAAGATGGTAAATTTTATATTTACTAGCGACATATTCCTCGCTCGGTACATCGCTTGAAGTTGTATTACTTATTTTGTGTATTTACTGTTGAACTCTATTGAAAATTTTTCTAAGGTATCAGATATGGGATCTTGTATTGAGTACTGCTATCAAACAATAATTTGGTGCTTCCTCTATACAGCCATGCCAGTATATTTATTACTTTATTATAAATTTTAGCCCTCTCGTGTTACCTGTAGCATAAGAATTATTTACGTATTTGAAAATATTAATATTAATAATAATGATTAATTATTTGCATTAATAGTAACAATAATTCATTAACACTGAGAAAAAAAAATTTAGTGTTTGCAACAAAATTGTTTGGTTAGGCAATTTTAGTTCTTGTAACCAAATTTTGGTTCGCTGAAACAAAGTCGTAGAGTTATCTCAACCAAACATTTGGTTAGGCCAACAAAATTATTTGGTTGAACATTTTTAAATTCCAACCAAAATTTGGTTGCGACAACCAAATAATTTGATTTGCTCTCAGCTTATAGCTTAAGAGAACAATTAGTTTAAATCTCTCACAAAGATGGGTAGTCCAGTGGTCAGAGATCCCGACCTTCAGTTTTAAAACAGAGGTTCGATCCCAGGCGGAGATAAGATTTTTCAGAGTCCACAAATATTTCAATTGGATAAATATAAATTGAATGTTAAATTGATAATAAATAAATAATGAAATAAATAAGAAAGATAAAAAGAAAAGTGATAAGGTAGAATAAAATTTTTAATTTTACAAAAAAAAACTGTTGGTTTGATCAACCAAACATTTCTGTTGACCTAACAAAAAAAATTTGGTTGAGCTAACCAAACATTTTCGGTATGCTAACAAAAAATACTCAACCAAATTTTTTGGTTGACTCAAACAACAAATAGTTTGGTTGCTTAAATACCAACAAAATTTTTTTGTTGGTCCAACCAAATTTTGGTTGCTCTGACTAAACGTTTTTCTTAGTGAATAGTCCAAATAAGTTAGCATTTTTAGATTTTTTAACTCAGAACCTGAATTTTTTTTTGCTTATTAAACCCTTCATTATGGGCTAAAAATAAAGTCCCTAAATTTGTCACTTCGAACACCTACCAGAACTTAAATATTTTTTTTAAAGAAATAGGTGCAAAAAATCAATTTTTTGCAAATTGCCGCCTTCCATGACATTTTAGTATAAAAATAGTTATTATAAAAAAGAAAGTGTATAAAATTCTGATTAATTTGATAAAAAAATGAACCCTATAGCTCAAAAATTGACCGAAATATAGCTTCCGTAAAAAAAATTTTTATCGTAATTTTAGCCAAAATTCGGTATTTTTCTGTTTTTTTAATACAGCTTTGAAACTAATGATTTTTTGAAAAAAATGACCAACTGAAAAGTTAAAGCTGATTAAATTCCTGACAATTTGCTGTCTGAAATTAAAAAAAAAAAAAAATTATAAATTTCTAAAAATCATAAAATTTACAAATTTTTCCAAAAATCAAGAATTTTGATGAAAATATAATAGATCTCTATCAATAATATTATCGTGAATCTATTGTACGTTTTACAACATATCAAATTAAATTCTGACATTTACTGTGTTTTCCTATGTATGCTGTGAATTGTTATGAGGATAGGAACATGCATACGAGATAGATCCTTACTAATAGATTTATTACACAATACTCTCATTGACTGACACAATTAATATTACATGTATAATGTATAATCTCCCTATGAATGTTTGTACATTATACATATATTAATGATACGAAAATTTTTATAACTCATAATTCTGTTTTTTTTTCTTAGAAAAAGATATATTTCGAGAAAAATTAAAAGAAATTCAAATAAAAAGGTGGATTGAACATATCGATATATATGGACAAGTCTCTGGAACTTTTAACATTTGTGTTCCTGATACTTTTTATTTTATAAACGAGCTAAAAATCATATAACTAATTATTGTTAAATATTTTTATACTATTAAAGAAAAGGTCAAAGATCTTTGTTTTAGTTTATTCTAATTCTTATAATTAAAATTTTTTTTCTTCCTCGTGGAGGAAGCTTTGTAGTACTTTCAAACAAATTTTTTTCTATATAGAAACATGTTATATGAGATCCTGATAAATTGTCCGGATGTATGTATGTGTGTGTGTATGTGTGTGTGTGGATCCCTTTTTTGTTTAGTCGATAACTTTAACAGGTTTAATTGATTTAGATAAAATTTTGTAGGCTCATTTATCATATTAACATCTCAAATCTGACCAAAGGATTTTGAAAAATACCTCAAGAAAAAATTTTATCGTTATTCGGAGTAAAACTCCGGGAGTATGGCTCCTTAGGGGTAAAACCCCTATTCAGGTGGGTATGACCCTCCTAGGCTCCGTGTAGCGCGAGAGTGATGGTCTTCAGCGGGAGCGCAGCTTATATAGCCGTTCGGTGGGCTAAGCGTACGCGAGAGAGATTTCAGTGATGCGGCCCGCGCGGCGAAATCGGGTACTACGTTGCTGTGCTATAAATATTTACCGGCCGATTTCTAACTATCATTACAAGATAAACAAAATTAAAAAAAAAAAATTTTATCGTCTTTTTTCCAAAAATTTTTTTTTAAGTGCATCCGGGAGAAAATAATGGTTTTGTAGATTTCTTCTCATTTGAAAAAAATAGAATATTTTAGGTTGGAATTTTTTGGAAATAATAGAGGAAGGTACCCTTCCAAGGGCTCTTCTCGAAATTTTACATAATCTTGATAAATAATAATTATTGAAAAAAAATGTTTAATGATAGAACGTCCAAGCGCCCATCCTGCTGGAAGGGTCTTCCGGCAGGACGCTTGGACAAGCCGCTGCGTACTGCCGGCAGGATGCTTCTCCGCACATTGCGCCATCCTGCCGGCAGGATGTTCCGTCATCCTGCCGGCAGGACGCACTTTATTTAAAACATATATTTCCATTAAATTTTCTTAAATTACCACATAAAATTTTATATATTATAAATTACCTTAAAAATTTCATAAATTACCATAAATTACCCTATAAATTTCCAAAATTAGTTTTCAAATTTTTCTTTTAGATATTATAAATTCCCGCATAAATTTCATAAATTACCGTATAAATTTCATAAATTACCGCATAAATTTCCTGCAATAATTTTTAAATCTTAAATTTTGTTTGTATTACAATTATAAATTACCTCAAAAATTTCATAAATTACCGCATAAATTTCCAAAAATTACCACGTAAATTTTCTGCAATAGTTTTTGAATCTTGAATTTTTGTTTGTATTATAATTATAAATTACCTCAAAATTTCATAAATTACCTCATAAATTTCCATAAATTACCTCAAAATTTCATAAATTACCTCATAAATTTCCATAAATTGCCAAATAAATTTCCATAAATTACCTCATAAATTTCCATAAATTACCAAATAAATTTTCTGCATTATATATTTTTTTTAATCTTGAATTTTGTTTGTATTATTATTATAACACTATGTATAAAGATTTGTAGCCAGCGCAATTGCGGACGGATGAAAAAGACTCAGATGAGAGTCTTTCCGAAAAAACATTATAAAATTAATATGGATTCAGATAAACATAAAAAAATATATATGGTTCGAAAGGTAATTAAAAAAGCTATCAGATCATGTAAATATCAAGTTTTTAAATTTAAATATCAGGGCTGGGTAATCGTATCAATAAACTGAGAAGAGTCCTGCCGGCAGGACCGGGCGTCGACGATCTAGCACTAAACATTAGGTCAGTTTTACAAAAATTTAACTTCTTTAAGTTGCCTAGCCTTGGGGTTTGAATTTAGAAATTTAATTTTTACATGCGCTGAAAGCTTGTATCTTTACCTTTCCAACCATATATATTTTTTTGTGTTTATCTCAATCCAAGTTAATTTTAGAAAGCGATTTCGGAGGGACTCACCTGAGTCTTTTTCATCCTGCAGGAAGGACGTTGGACGTTCTATCATTAAACATTGTCAAAAAGGGGTTTCGTAAATTTCTTCTCATCTTTGAAGAATAAAGTATTTCGAGTTGGCATTTGGAGGAATAATAGAGGAAGGGTCACTGAGTGGGGCTCTTCTCCATTTCTGCAATAATATTGTGAGGAAATTTTTTTATTAAAATTATTAAAATTTAAAATACAGAATTTATTTAATACAATTTTTAATGTTTATTAGTATAAGAGGAGTTATTAATTCAACATTTTTCTTTATAAATACCTAGCATGGATGTTTTGATAATTTAAATAAATTTTGGTCAACATTCTCCATTTAATAATAATTTATGATTCCATTTTTTAATAGTCATTTTACAAAATTATTATATTAAACAATTAAGCTGAGCATAAAATCAATTATTTTAATTAATTTTTACATTACCCTTCATGATGCATCTGTCATTTTCAATATTATATGAAAATCTAAAATTACACATCATTTTAAGTGACGCAGAATCATAAGGAGATTATATAAAGAATATATACAAAACAGAAATTATCTCCTCTCTTTGCTGTTAAAAAAAGCACTATAATCTAATAGAATAAAAAATATCTCAAAACAAAAATATATAAAATCAAAATAAAAAAATATTGTGAAACACAATAAAAAAGCATAATTTTCATTTTTTACAATTAAAAATTCCTTTATTGTGTCCAAAGTATGGAGAGGAAAATAAAAGGATATATTATACATAAAAGTTTCTAGCGTGCGGTCGACTCTATATATTTTCGCGGGACGTCTTTTTCAGAATCGCTTGTATATGTGTACATTCATTTTTTATTTTATTCACGAATAGATGAATTTTTAACGCCACACACACATATATATATATACATTTGCTCTTCTCACTGCCTTTTAGTATGGGGCGCAGAGATTTTCACAAGCTTAATTTAACGACGAGTTAG